TCTCCTGTCTTTTTGTCAATACCACTGTCTCTAGACCATACAACATTACAACATAGCTGGTCTTGCCACTGTCCTGTAAACTTTTCCTTTGACCTTTGCTGACACCCTTGTGTAAAAAAAAAATCACTCCTGAAACTTTTCTCCATCCACTCCATCCTGACTGGACTCTCTTTTTCACCTCTTTACCACACTCCCCATTTTCCTGGACTGTGGACCCCAAGTACTTGAAGTCCTTTCCAACTATTAACAACAACAACAACAACAACAACAACAACAACAACACAATAATAATAATAATAATAATAATAATAATAATAATAATAATAATAATAATAATAATAATAATATTAATGAGTGCATGAAGGTGGAATTGTGGCTGGAAAGCCCATTTATCAGAATCAGAATAAACTTTATTGGAATTGCACCGAGGTACAACGCGAATATGTACGTACAGTCGTCCGAAAGATGAGCGGAGTGCACGAAGCTGCAACTGTAGAAAGCGCGGCCTTCTTATCCTTATCAGATAATAATCTTAGATAGGAAAAGGGGTAGAAACATGAGGGTAGATAGTGGTATTACAAAAAAAGATCTTTCACATCTTGTCTATCAGGACACGATTTGAGACATCAAAAAAACTCTACCAGCAAGCACAATTAAAACATGATTACATTTGCATTTGACATCAAGGTGTTGAGATTTGTCCATGAGCGTTTTTTCAGATCAGCCACAGTTTCTGAAGATGTTGTTTCAGCCAGCAGTTCTGATAAGCTTGCACAGAGAGGGGGGGGCGATAGATGAAGCTTTTGTCCTTGGGTACTCATGTCCCAGGAGAAATTTGATAGTCGGCCTGTCTCCGAGGCCATCGGGAGTCAGATTTAGATAAGCTTGGTTCTTGTTTTTCTTCAGGCAGAGATTACTTTTCTCCAGCCTTGAGTCCATCTGGGCGTTCTGGTTCCGAAAATGCCTAATTGTGGGATTTATGAGGTTATTAGGAATGTTTGTACATCTAAACCAGCAATAACTATGTTCTCAAGCCTTTGTCACATTTAATTTGTGTGGGAAGCTAATAAAAGGTTTGGGAAATGCTGGTTTGAAAGACAGTTTTGAAAGTTTAACACATTTTACTGACCTGGTACACAGGTTACTGAGAGTTACTTAGCAGTAACAATACTTGGAAATGTATTATTATTATTATTATTATTATTATTTAGGAGTTTTGCTCATTTATAGACCATTAAGGTGGAAAACATTCAATGAAGAAATAGAAGGACAAATAAAGCAATCAATTAACATTAATGTGCTCTGAATCCATTGAGCAAGTCACTTAAAACAGTTCATTCAAATGCCCTTTGATTAATTAACCATGAGATTTCCTTAAAGTCCCTGCTCAAAAAAAATAAAAAATAAAAAATAAAATAACGTGAAAAATGAAACTGTTTCTTAGCAATTACAAACTCTGTTTGGTATCTTGGTATCAAAATAAAGCTAACATTTGGAGAGTTCATCAGAAGTGTAAGCACCAAAGCTGCTGCTATTGCTTCACAGAAAATGAGGATGGAGCAAAGTTAAAAAGAGAGAGGGGGAGGAAGGTGGTTTTTTTTGCATTGCCAGAAGTTTTTCTGCATTATAGAAAATACACTGCCTGGCAAAAAAAAAGTTGCCACCTGGATTTAAGTAAGCTACCAGGTACAATAGGTGCCTCCTATTGGATAATTACTGCATGGGCGATTATCTTTCAGCTGCAACAAGTTATTTAACTCCAACTGGTGCGATGAGTTTCTTCTCATTTCTTAAACAACCATGTTGAAAGACTAATCGCATGGTGGTGGAAAAGATGTCGGTCTGTTTGAGAAGGGTCAAATCATTGGCATCAAGCAGAGAAAACATGTAAGGAGATTGCAGAAACTACTAAAATTGGGTTAAGAACTGTCCAACCCATTATTAAAAACTGGAAGGATAGTGGGGACCCATCGTCTTCGAGGAAGAAATGTGGCAAGAAAAAAATCCTGAATGATCGTGATTGGCAATCACTTAAAACGTTTGGTGAAATCAAATCGAAGAAAAACAACAGTAGCACTCAGGGCTATGTTTAATAGTGAAAGTAAGAGCATTTCCACACGCACAATGTGAAGGAACTCAAGGGACTGGGACTGAACAGCTGTGTAGCCTTAAGAAAACCACTAATCATTGAGACTAACTGGAAAAAAGGCTTCATTTTACTAGAGAGCATAAAGATTGGACTCTGGAGCAATGGAAGAAGGTCATGTGGTCTGATGAGTTCAGATTGACCCTGTTCCAGATTGATGGACGCATCAGGGTAAAGGAGAGAGGCAGGTGAAGTGATGCACCCATCATGCCTAGTGCCTAGTCATCAATGCAAGATCTTGGTGAAAAATTAATGCAACACTGGATGGAAATAGATCTTGTGACATTGCAGAAGCTTGTCCAAACAATGTCACAGCAAATGCATGCTGTAATCAAAGATAAAGGCGGTCAAACAAAATATTAGTGTGAGAACTTTTTTTTTTTAGCCAGGCAGTGTAGTTCAGTTATGTACTATCCACATTTCTTTCATTTGTCATCTACTGTTTGTTAGTAGTTTGTTGGAAACTACTGATTGCACGGCAGCAACTACCCTGAGTTTTGTTAAATTTAATCCTAAACTTGCAACAAGCTGTCAGAATTACATTATGTCTTCAAAACAAAGTGCAATAAGCAGTGGTGGGCGCAGCTAAACAAAAAGTTAGCTTGACTAAGGCTAAACAGATTTTTAAAAATTTGTGAAAGCTCATGCTAAAGTGCTAACTTTTATCATACATTGATGTCGCTGACACTGTAAGACTGTCTTTAATGTGACAACATTGTAAGTGAACACAACTCAAACGATTCATAAAACACAAGTAAAGCGTCCATGCCCCGTTCAGAAGTGACCTTTCAGAAATGACTTCTGTCCATCAGAACCAAAGAGGCAGAGCAGAACTCTGCTGTGCTGAAGCAGAGTGATGCATTCAATGTGTGTCGGATGTCTCCTTTGTGTCATCTACCATGAGGGGTTAACCCACTCAGGTGATCCTCTTTGTGGTTTACTACTTTTATAAACTAACTACATCCGTATTCTCTCAGTAACAAATCTGTTTGTCTTAAAGTAAAGACGTGTGAAGAAATGTGTGAGAGAGTCATATCCCAGAGACAGTGTAAGTGTTGCAAAGCATGCTGGTTAGGAATTATGTGTGCAATGTTTCTGACTGTTTATGATGTTTCTGAGTATAAAAATGGGTTATTTATGTCATTAATTTTTCTGTTCTGGTTTTGCATTTATGTTAAAGTCCGTTATTGGCTGTAAACTGACACCATGAGTCAGAGACTGTGGTAATAAAACAGTAACGGTAATAAAATTATGAGAGTAAAAAGGCATTGTGTGGATGGTGATGTCACCAGATGGTACTTAACTTTGCTTAGCTCTGCATAGTACAGCTTAACATGACTCCGTGTAAATCTCCATTCTCCTGTACGCTGTTAGCGTGAACTGTCTTTAAAAAAAATTAGCAGACTTGAATTTACCAGATATAAATTTAGCAGAAGCTAATTGCGCTAGAGGATTTCAAAGCTAACGAAAACGCTAATCCGCTAAACAGAAAGTTAGGGCCACTATTAGTGGAACCGTGTCTTCTACAACTGCAAGTTTTTGTGGACAAATCAACTTTTTATTGAATGAGTCAGAAAAGCTCCCCCGTTTATCTTGCATGTTTGTAAGTGGAAATTATATTGAATAAATTAGATATTCACACTCATCCAAGTGTCCAGTCAAATGTTGCAGCCTGTTTACCTCTTGAGCCACACACTCCCGGTACCAGGGGTTGAATTGCACTTCCTGTTTTCTATGTCAGCTCCCTCAAGTTCTGTTATTTTAACACAGACATGTGGTATTGACACATCAGATTTTTAGCTAAAAGGTAATAAAAAAATATTTCTACAACCACCAAACACAGCTAAAACCACAAGCAGTTGGATCAGCAAACAAACTGCATAAAATGGTGTGACCGCAAAACTCGTCTCAGCTGTTCCCCCCATGGCTTCTACACACAACCAGCATGTCTGCTGGAAGCAGAGATCTCACAGATTCCAAAAATATAGGTTTCATCACGATGCAACCAGGACTCACTCAACCAGCAGAAAAAAAAAGAGGTCCAGAGTTTTTACTCATATCTGACAAACATATTTTGAAAAGCTACACATCATCAAAGAAAACTTTGTAATTTTGAGGGAAAATAATATAAAGTTAAATTGAGACGCACATCTTGGAGTCGGAGAGGTTTTATTGTCATTTCAGCTACGTACAAGTACATATTACAGCGTTCCCCAGGATCACGGATCACAGGAGCTTTACTTTAATCTGGGGCCTACAAAATATCTGTGCTTTGGTGTTCAAGTTTAATTCTCAGAATTAAATTAGCAGGAACAGGAGTGAAAGGCTGCGCTCTCGTTCACTCTTCCCTGATGTGCGGGGAGTTCTGATGAATGTGTGATCGCCCACGAGCCAGGTTAAACAACAACAGATTTATTACTGGGGGAATAAATAGGGTTGATTAAGTCAGAGTCAGAGTCAGAGTCAGAGTTTCTTTATTGTCATTCGCACCTCATGTGGTACATGTGGTGGAGCGAAATTATGTACATAGGGTACATAGTGAGTTAATTCACACATTAATTCGCCCCAGGGGAGCAGCTGGTGGGGGTTAAGGGCCTTGCTCAAGGGCCCAGAGAGGGGCAAATAAGGGTGGAGGCAGGTGTGGGTGTTTCACCTTTCCCACCCACATTTCGATGTTGTCTGTACCGGGAGTTGAACCGGCGATCATCCGATCACGGGCTCACCTTCTCTAACTTACAGTTAGGGTTCATCACACACAGACTGAGCACAATGAGGCAATGCAGTGCAGCTGGAGACCAAACCGATGACCTTCCAGATGGAGGTGATGTTAACTGATGATACAAAGTGTGTTTACTCACTCAGGTCTGTAGACAGGCAGCCAATAGACGAGCCTCCCACCCATGAGCAGGCGGTGGGCAGAGAAGTTCAACAAATCTGAGAAGATGTCACTGAGGTTGTACACCTGGGAGACAGGTACATGGGACTCAGTGTAGCTGGAGAGAAAAAAGAGCAACAACAAAAGCTTTTCAAGTTTCTCCAAGTGACTGGTGAGATTATATAACCACCAGTAAATCCTAGACTTCACGTTTTTGTTTTACAACTTTATAAACTTTACCAAAAACTACTTAATATCAAAAGCGAGTCTAGAACTGAAGACTGGGCATGTTTGTGGCATTTCAGGTGGACTTACGTGCCATCGGGGGGTTTATTGATGCCCTTGTGGGAGCCTGTTTTTCTTGTAGACTCTCTGATCCCATATGGAGCTAAAAATAAAATAAAATAAAAGCAAATAATTTATTTTATCTAAAAATTAAAAGCAGAATTTGTGTATTTTTGCAAGTGTGACTAAAGTGCATATATATTTATTGTTTTTTCTGGGGTATAACTGGGACCATGAGTACTCAATTTCATTCCACCTCCTGTACCACATGTGATGTGAATGACAATAAAGAACCTTGAACCATAGCTGAGTTTATAATCTTTTGGAACAGAAGTTTTCATAGTTCTGTACACAGTTTTACATTATTCCTACAAAACTACTAAAGATGTTCCCAATTTAGTAGAGTTGGAGCCTTACATCTCCAAAAAATAACTTTTCAAAAAATTTAATTTTAAATTAACTGTGTGTTCAGTGTTTCTTTGGTCATATGTTGACCATAATGCTGAAGGTCATTAACTTTTACAGATGTATTGAATTGTAAAATAAAATAAAATAAAAGGTTGTTAACAGCTGATACAAGCTCTGCATTGCAGAAAGAACACGTCTGTTAAAACATCATCTTATGATACTAATGACATTAAAAGGTAAAGTCACTTTTTTATTAAACAAGACAGTTATGAAGCGTGACTAATAAAGTTGATTATGTCAAATTATGAGCATGTAGACAAATGAAAACATAACAGTAACAATATTTAAAAGTTGTGTTGTATACCAAACTGTAATTTTATGTAAGGTTTCTGGATTCATGTGCATTAATCCAGGTAGAAAAATCCAACAAAGTTAAGTCAGGTCCTCCAGATGGTTTCTTATAAACTCAGTCTTATAAATAGAACCTTCACATAGTGGGTCAACCAGTTTGGTAGTGCTAAGATGGTTTCTGGTGTCTGCCCTCTCCCCCACCGACTCGGTTGAGGATTATTGAGCGTGAATCAGCATGTTTTGAACCACTTTGGCCATGACTGCCTCAAATGAGTCAGCTGGGAGAGGGCGGACTACAGAAACCATCTGAGCACCACCAAACTGGTTGACTTCAACCAGACTTCAGTTAGCAGCACAAAACTACTCTGAAATGTTTTATCTAAATTTAAGAGGCTAACTGATTTTCAATAAGTTCCATTAGTTTTCATGTTTTGTTTTTTTTATTTGAATTAATTCGGGACCTACGATCAGTAATGATTGCGTCAAACAGAGGAGTGTTCCTCCACAACGGCTTGGATGCATCAGACACCATCACATCCACATACATCCTCTCTGTTCCGTATTGTCGTAAGTTAGCTCTGATGTTCTCATCGGGACCTCGCCACTTTTGATTTTTACGGCTGGACCGACCTACCAGGACAAAGAAAGGGTTGTCATATTTACATACTAATTCTTTGTTTCTTAACATAAAAATATGTAAAAAAAAATACAAACAAAAAAACCCCACTTGGATTAAATTCTGCATGTCAAATTATAGCTATGTAGATAATATACCTTTGCCATGAATTGTGTTGTAATCAATATCTGTTCCACAGACATAAGCTCCAAACTGAGAACATGCAACCAACAGGCTCCCTGAGACCATTAGAGAAAAAACAAAAACATAAATGATTGATTTCCATAATGTGTAACTGAATGGAAAGTAGTGACAACATGAACTTACCTGTGCCAACAAACGGGTCAAAAACGAGGTCGTGCTCTTTGACCTTTGCATGATTTGCCATGAGGAATGAGAGGCCAGCATTCATGCTGGTGTTTCCAATAAAATGTCTGTCCTTCACACTGAAGGAGCGAATCAGTTCCCGCTGACCATCTGCTATCTAATGTGTAAGAAGAACAGGTATTCAACTGCAAAGTCCCACTCTCCTCCATTTACAAACCAGTCAACCTATCTTACCCATCTGCCAAAGTAAATGTAGTTGGGATGCTGTGGGATGTTGTTAGGGTCGGTGCCATAATCCTCTAACAAACAGAAGATGTGCTGAGGGTTCGTCAGGTTCACTGTACCTTCAAAGGGAAGATACGCCAAAGCCTAGTGGACAAGACACAAAACATGACATTTAAACACTAACACGAGATATTTGACACTTTTTCCACTTAAAAGCACATTTAAATACTTACATTAATCTTCTTGATTCGGTCTTCAAATGCCAAAGATTTGTTAAAAGAGTAGATGTTGATTTTGTATGTAGACTCTTTGTGCATGTAGGGCTTCTGTAAGGAAATGTGTCATGATCGTAGACATAGAATTAAAAGACTTTACATCTAATATGAAAATCTCAACTTGTGTAAGAACAGGTCTATCCAACCTAAAAGAACTATAACAAACCATTTTCTCTGATGGGTAGTTCAAGAGGGATGTTTTGAGTTCACTGTGCGTATTGCCATGGCCCCACAGCTCAAATGCAGACCTGCAATGATACTGTGGTATGAACTGGAACTAAATTATAGAACTAAGAAGACAGACTAAGTTGTACGATGTTTTGTCTTTAAAACTGAACACAATTCATCTCTACCAAAGCTAAACCACTTACTTTGCACAAACAGATCTGGCCATAACGCTGCGAACATCCTCCTCTGACAAACTGTCCAGGCACCAGAAAGGAGACTAGAAGGAACAACAAAAAATGCAGATAGTCAAGAGCATGAGGCAATACCTACCAAAGTATGCTGACTTACTAACCTGTTCATTGAAGTTTTCAGTTGGGTGGAATGATTTTGCTCTGAGATCCAGCAGAGACTTTATTTCCTACAAAATTCAGCACATACATGAAGAACAGTGCAAAATATTGTCCTCCTACAACAATAAATCGCGAGTATTGTAAGAACTGAATAGGAAGACTAAAGTTGCACATAAAGCTGATAGAAGACAAATGTAGGGACTAAAGAATACAGAATAAACTCTAAGATGAGTGAACCTTAATTTATTGTTAGTTTAAAATTATTTTACATACTTAAAAATAAGCTATATCATATATAATATACTAAAACATACTATATATTTTAATTAAAATGTTTAGTGCCTTAGTATAATACGTAAAAAATTAAAAATTAAAATCAGAGGAATGGAAAATTCTTACCAATAAAGAAAATATGTTAGCTTGTTATAATTACAAGACAAACATGATTTTGTTTACCTGAAACTAGCAAAACCTAATGAACCGGTACAGTTTGAAATTAGCAAGGACACACAGCGAAAACAGAAGCGTGGGTTAAAGTGTATGAATAAAATTATAATGATGATTTTTTATAACATTTAAACTAACAGACACAGAGATCATTTCAATAACGTTACCGGTAACCTGTAGTCCAGGTAATCATGAGCAAGATGCAACAAATATTGAAGGCATGAGCGACGTGATCGACAAGTGGAGGCAGCCATCTTTGATGCGCCTTCATAATAGGTCCGACTTGAAACCGGAACCTCATTACAAAGTACCGTTTGACGACAATGGTAGGGGTCAGGTAGAAGGGGATCGCCTTCATTTTATTATCAAGCAATGTGAACACTCACATTGTTAAAACACAGATTAAAGCAAATAATAGAATTTAATGTCAATAATGGTACAATAGTGTACTATCAATTATTTAAATAAGCTTGTACAATTTTTAAAAGTTTTATCATGATATTATTACTATTATTCTGTTTCTTTCTCCCTCTGGCTTTCTTTTGTTCACCAAATTATCAATTTACGCAACCCAAGGACGTAGATGAACTTTCTATAATCCTCTTTTCCACAGCACCACAAATAAGAGCCTAATTTTAAAACCACTTCCCCTCTAGCCTTTGATTGGTTGACGACTATAAGCGATTGTCTTCTCATTTACGCCATTGGTCAAGACATACGTCAATCAAATGGGTTTCACCTGAGCATTAGCTGGTGTCATCAGAACAGCGGCACTGATGGTTAGCATTATGAGGTAACTTAAAAAGAATGATTGAACTTGGGCTGCAGTAAAACGTTACTTTCAGTCAGGTAAGAACTAAATTATGATCTTAATTATTAATATAAATGCTTAGTTATGTTACTCTAAAACAATGGCTATTTTTTTTTAGCTCAAAGTTAACTGATAACTTTATTCTGCTAAGTAACATTTTCTTCTTTTTTGTACTAAATCACAACCACTAGATAGATGTAACTACAGACTCACACTTGTGCATTAAATCTCAATATTAATGCTTTGTTTTCTTCTTAGCATTGTAACAGGTTTGTATTTTGTGCACAATGACCAGCAGGGAGAGCACCGTCGCCATGGAAACAGAGAAAGAAGTCAACTCTCCTGCTCAGTGTGAGGGCCACACAGTTTCTGTGAAGGGGCTGAAAGAGAACTGGCAGAAGTGGTGCAGTGAGCACCAGCGGAACCAGAAGCACAACCCGTTCAGCCATGACAGCAGACACAGCGTGGGGGTGTACCAGGCGAAACTTGACTATGGAAGACCCCTGCAGGGGTCTCTGACAGAGCAGCGTGGGCAGGAGGCTCACACACACATCAGCAAAGAGATTAAGAAGCTATGCGAGGCAATAAAGACCATCGGAGAGCTGAAAGAGAAAGATGGGGGTGATGGTGGCAGCAACAGGAAAGTGATCGCTGTGGAGTTTGGGAAACTGTTCCAGCATTATGTGGCCATCTCTAACAAACTGGTGGGAATTCTTTTACGGGCCAGAAAACAGAGACTGGTTGAGTTTGAAGGGGAGATGCTGTGGCAAGGGAAGGATGATCATGTAGTTATTTTTCTGGTGGAGTGATGCTACCTCATGTTGGTGAAAAAATGGCAGGGACCACACTAAAGAATGCATTACATTTGCTTAATGTAAAACTACCTGTTCCTTACACAGTGAAACATGCAAGTCCAAGTTTAGTGTGTCCAACATTAGATTCACATGCAGCTGTTAGACTCATTACACATCTCGAGACATTTTCTGTTTGAATTAAAACCATAATAAATATATACGAAATGACCAAAGAGTGCACATATCCTAGCAAACCTAAAATAGAATATCAAAATCTTTTCTGCTTTTTATTTGCTGCTGGTTTATCTTCTTAAAATGTTTTTTTTTTTTTTTTTTTACATTATAACAACCTTTATTACGATACACATTCTTGTGTTTTTTACACTCAAACAATATGGTATTAAATTATTATGAGGAAAAAACTGTGATCATTTCTTACTTCAAAGTGGTACTTATGTTGTAATAACATAAAAACAATTTGTTATGAACTCAATATTTTAAGAGCATGTTTAAAAGCAAAATAACAATGTATGAACTAAAACACTTTTTACGTTCTATAATGCTATTTTATTTTTATTGGGATGGCAGCCAGTCAGGACTATTCTACTAAATAGCTCAGGGGGTCACAGTTACTGCAGCCAAGAGCTCAGGGGGCAGACATCCAGCAGTTATTATCATTAAGTTTGTTTTATGATTTAAAATCTAGTTTTATTTAAAAATGAACCCATGGGCTGAACTGAGCTCACCCGTCGCCCGATTGCACCACCAGTTGAGTAGCCCTGCTTTAAGTTTAACTTATACGCTTCTCTAAAAACTGACTAAAGATTCAGAACTAACTTTTATTAATGTAACAAAGAAATTTAAACATCCTACTTCAGACGTGGGCAAAATGGCCTGAGGGCCAAAAGTGGCCCTTGAACAATCTCTATCTGGCCCCCAATATTCTTAATAAAAAAATGTATAAAAGAAAACTTAAATAAGTTGATGTAAACCAGCATTTTATCATTGAAACTCATTTTATCAATGAAACTTAAGGAAGTTTAAATTAAACGTCTTGGACAAATACATTGAAAACATTTGGATTAAAACTTTTGTTTTAGGTTTTGTTTCCAGAACAACCATCTCTTACAAGACTCCAAAAGGCAACCTTAACATTTTTTCTACATACTTAGGCTAACAAATAAATTGTCACAAGAATCAGTTTACAGAAAACATGTCTAATAATCCTGCAGAGTATCGGAGACATATTTTATATCAAACATGCCAACTACGATACAAAAACAAAATGGCTGAAAAATGTCCAGATTGTCATTATTAAAGAAAATGTATTTTCCAGTTATCTATGCAGCCCTGGGATTGCTTTCAATATCTTTATTTGGCCCTCTGGGGGAAAAAAATGTAGTCAGACACTGCTCTAGTTGATGGAAAGTATTAAAAATGCTCTCAAAAAATGTTTTACCATATAATTTATTTTAAATTAAAAAATGCTTAAAGTTCATTTTTTACATTCAGTCTATAAACAGCAGCAAAGTTTGGCAAAGCCACAAAATGAACATTGTGATAAAAGATGGACATAACTTCTCAAATTAAAAATAAAACATTTGTTATAAATAAAATGTTGTCGCCTTCATTATACTTGCAGTCTTTTTTTTATTTGCCATGTTGATCATTTTGTAAATGTGATTAAACTCGAGACTTGTGAAGGGTTGTTTCCAAAGAGGTTCTGTCACAATGATGTCCATCTTTCATTTAAAGTCAAAACATTTTTTATTCCAACATTTTTTACAGTAAATCAACCATTGACGCTCATCATTAATTTTTCAGTTTAATGTGCCGGTAATGTTGTGTTGTACTCGACAGCCAGATTACTCAGTGAAGTACCTTTTAATAAGCTTTTGAATACTCCATCCATGTAGTACTTCATGCTCATCAACATAAAGGTACATTTCAGTTCTCAGCTAAGCTGCAAAAATGAGAAAATCTACAATATTTTGTGAATACATTAAAAGTATCTGTTAGGACAATTATGAGTTGTACAAACCAATTTTCCTTCTGATGTCATATTTTATGGTTTTACATGCATAACTTGAGATTTATAAATAAAAGCAATCATGCAAGACAGGAAATGCAACAGCCTGAAAGCTGCGTTGCTGTTTCTGGATCTGAATTTATGGTGATGGTGATAATTGTCTGCATTATCAGAGTACAGCTCGTATTTTATTTAACACACCTCTAGGGTTTTGTAGAAATAATAAATGAGAATAACATGAATTACTCCTTGGTCCACATGGATGATTTTTTTAACGAGGCTAGTTAATTACAAATTAATTCACTTGGTAAAATTATTCAACATTAAAGTGCTTCTCAGGTTTTTGTGACACATTTCAAACACCAGAAGACTAAAGTTGTCTTCATTCAATCTTTACCAGGCTTTGAATTTCACTAAAACTAGAAATGACCTCCCTTCAGTGTTATCAGTTTAAATAATGTTCTCAGCAGCAGCCAGACAGAAAATAACATCTGCATCATCCAAGATGGCGTCTGCAAAACAGACAGCCGGCCCAGCGCCTCGTCAACGTCCAGCTGCCAAGAAAAATGGACTCCAGTGATCAGTCGGCATCTCCTTTGGAGTTGAGAAGCTCAATCAGCTGATCTGCCTGAAAAACAGTCATAAATATTAAATCTTTGTGTTGGCACCTTTTAGGCTCAGCAAGTATTGCAGTTTAGCAGCAAACCCCCTCCCTCTACACATCCACACAAAATATTTCCCCAACTGCACCCCAAACTTCATTTAAATAAAAAATATACAAATTACAAGATCATAAAATTAGTCATTTGAATGCAAATATACACATAAGCAACTGAAAGTTGTGAATATTTTGCATTTGTTTCTAGATAAATGTTAAATACTGAAAGTTTGAATGATTCTTATTACACTCCACTATACATCATATTGTCCAAAGTAACATTCTGACTCAGTTCAGTTAATCTAAGGGCCACACATTTAATTATAGCATCACAACTTATATTTTAAAAAAAAGTCTTCCTTTTTTAATGATAGCAAATTTGTATCAGGATTAGCATGCCTGATCAAAAAATGTCACTTAACTTTTTACATCTGAAATACCACACCACTATCTTAACATATAAAATATTCAAAATGGCAATATTGACAAAATGGTCAGATGTCAGAATGTTGCTAAATATTGTAACATTCTGAGTGTTTTTTGTCTTTAGTTATTCCAGAGAAGACAATGACTTTACTGTGTTAACATGGCAAATAAAGAGGATCTATTTTAGTTTAAAATGTAAACCACGCCCTCTGCTGGAATCAAGTCATTAGTTCAGTACAGACAGTTTCCCCTCATAAAATATTCATTAATAAATGCAAGTTTTGTTGATTTATGTCATTTTGTTTTAATTATGGCAAAGAGTCTGATGGCCCTCACACCAAGTTTGCTCATTGATGCTCAGGAGTAGTATTTTTTTGTTTTGTTTTAGAAACAGTTATCTTGGACCAGAGCAAGAGTTTTGGTAATAAAAAGAGAGAGAAAAGAAAAAAGAGAGAGAAAAGAAAAAAGAGAGAGAAAAGAAAAAAGAGAGAGAAAAGATGGCCCCAAAAGAGCACGGAAAATGCTGTGTGGAAACGAAGGTGTAATAACTCCAGTTATTCCACTATACAGCACAAACATATGCTAAACACACTATGAACTAGAAATTTTACCTACAAAAGAATATATGAGTTCTGTCGTGTTTATCACACCAGTGTTCAACAGTTCCAGCAAGAAACATTTCATCCATCCATCCATTAAACATTTCATGAGAAGCTTTAAGTTGAAAAATAGCCCAATACATTTGTGATTTTGCATAAACTTTGAAGCAAGAAGAAAAATACATTTTATAATCTTAACATTAATGGCAGTGGTCCTTGTAAGAATGACTAAAAGCGCTTACTGTGATGAACCAATAGGAGTTGAGTCTGTAGAAGAGGCGGGACATGAAGCCCATCTGACTGGCAGGGGCCAGGACGTGAAGGTGCAAGTGTGTGACAGAACAGAACGGAGGCCAATGGAAACCAAACCTGCAAACAAAAGAATTTAAATACTCAACATAACATGGCGACTTACATCACCACAGACAAATGATAAAAACATTACACTGTGAAGCACTGAGTGCAGCCAACCTGACATCAGTGAGATCTGTTAATTGGTGTTTTTGAAGAATCTCCTTCCCCACTTCGACCATTCGCTTCACTAAAAACAAGGAAGACATACACTTTTTAAAAGATCTGGTAGTGGTTTTTCCTTCCACTGTCACATCCGTACTCGCTTAAGATGGGAGACTGCGACGAAGTGAAAACTCAAAGCAATCTGCTGGCTCCTTAGATAAATAACATTATTAACTGTTTATTATATATATGAATGTTTCTGTTCAGTGCCCTGAGATGACTTCTGGTGTGATTTGACTCTACAGAAATAAAATGAATTGAAAATAATACTTGTACTTCAATCAGGTGGCATTAACACAAACTATCTTAGAGTTGCTGTAAGTGAGAGTTTACAAAACACTACAGTCCTCATTAGACCGTACCGGACACTAGTCCTACCAGAAAACCGCTATGTAAGTAACTGTAACCTGCGTTAAGTTTTAAAAATGTATTTTTGGGCTATTTTTCTAAATTTTATCAACTGTGGCTTCTTCAAATGCTATAGGACATTACAGAAACACATTAACTATTATGTTGTTGAAATAGTGTGAAGAAAAAAATATAGTTATTAAGACTGATCCATATGAGGTGGACAAAGCCTAAATGTGCTGAGTCAGACCGGCTCCTATCGGTCACATACTTTAGTGAGCCACACTCATCAGAGCTCAGTGCCGAGTTGCAAAGTTTATTCACTTACATGCTTTCTCAATTATGGTTTATGATGAAAAGGCTTTACTGTCTGTTTAGTTTGTACACCCTTTAACCCAACAGGAAACAACCATGATTAACCTCTCACACATGTTCACTGAAATGGAAAGTTGATTTAGGTTAGCTTGTCTTAATTGGATGGCGGAAAGTGTCCAGATGTAGAAAGTGTGACGTCAGTTGGGAACTTTTGTGTGTGTGTCTTAATTGAAAATTTAAGAAAAACAGAACACAATATAACAAGGCATACAAGAAAAAACAAGTTCACATTTGACATGATAAAAACTATGCAGAAATTATGAAGAAAAAGAAAAGAAAATTAACAATTTGATAAAAGATGATAAAAGGTTGCCATTATTGTTGGGAACTACAAATATGTCTGTCCTCCACCTCTGCAGTAAGCACAAGTTTATTATTTAAACTTACCCAAAGGCAAATGCTCTTTGCTGAGTGACTTGCAGTTCCCTACATGTTTTGTTGGAACAACCAGATAATGATGTGGAGCTCCAGGATGTATATCTCTGAAACAGGAAATCTCTTCATCCTGCAATAAAATGTGTTGCTTTTAAAATGTCTGGAGTTTTACCAAAGTTGATAGAAAGCATTGTACTTCTAGGTGGTAATTGATTTATTCAACATTTTACTGTTATTTGAACCAGGGGAGTTGAGCCACACCTAAAGAATAACTAAAACATCCACATCATTTACCACAATGTGTCACCCTTCGTGTAAGGGTTACCTAAAACAGTCCACGCCAAACCTAATATATTAGCTAGAAGTTAACAAACCCGGATTGTTAAAGAGCATAGAGAATAATTATGCTAATCATGCTAACTAACTTAGCACTAAAAATGACCAGATAAATCTCACGCTATGGAGGAGTTCTGTGCCCATCTCATTGTTCACAACTTTGCAGAAAATACACTTCTTCTCATATCCATCAGCCTGACCGCTGCTGGTTTTAGAAACATCATTTTGAGTAGGCTGGGCAGACTGAACACCGGCCATGTCTAAAAAAAAACCAATCAACAGCTTCGGCTGTTATTGATGACGTCATCGATATGAGCCGACTTTTTTTTCTGGCGGATGACGCCACAAAAATCATATAAACATTTGTTTTTAATTTTTATATATGATATCTATGGATGACAATTGAAATTTTAAATTCCTTATTTATGAACATTTTAAATTCCTTATTTATGAACATTTTAAACTCCTTGTTTATGAACATTACCGCCATGTATTGAGTGAAAGTACATTTAAGTTATGTTGACTATAAAAGCTAAAATAAAAATAAACATTTCATTTTTCTAGTTTATTTTACTAACAAAAAAGATAAAGTCAGTGTAGCACTTTTCCATTCTTTTGGTAATCCTGACCTAAAACAGGAAAGGTTTAGTTAAATGTAATGTCAGAAGATGAGGCAATATGTATTTATGTACAGATGTAAAAATCTAGTTTCTAGGGGTTCACCGATTACAGTTTTCTGACCGATCACCGATTTCTAAAAAGTCTGACCTGCCGATTCTGATTTTGGCAGATACCAATTTTGTTTCATAAGCGACACAGTCAGGTGTTATAAGGTCACAATGCACCTTCAATTTCCCAATATTATTTTGTTGAAAAACATCCCCTTGAACAATATCCTAGAAACAATACAGACTTGTTTAACTGGCCATGAGGTAGTGCTCTGAAATATAAATGAAGTTCAGACATTTGTTGTTAAAACTAAACAAATCGGTAAAATCGGTTTCTCATGCAAGTATCGTGAATTTCCCAAAAGGAAATGGGGGCCAATTTATTGGTGCACCCCTACTAATTTCCACTGTATGTACTGAGGAGAAAAGTAGATAAAAGTAATTTTCTAAATCTGCTTTTAATTGGTAGTCCACGAAGAGATCTAAGTCTCTAGAGGTTCAAAGTTGGTGGTGGTCGTACTTCAGAGCTGGTGTTTGGGTCAGCATTGAAACTTGGTGCACCAATATTTTTGAATAATAGCATTAATTAAATTTATAATAATAATAATATTTACTTTGTTAATCCCCAGTGAGAAAATTGATTCTCTGCATTTTTCCCATCCTGAGAGCACACAGCAGGGAGAAGCTTGAGGTTTAAGGGCCTTGTTCAACGGCCCTAGAAAAATTTCACCAAGAGGTTCATATCTAAACCTGAAGAACCACTTTACTGAATGTTTACATTTTTATTGTATAGATGGTGTGTTTTTTAGTTTTCATTCATTCAACCTTTATTTATGCAGGTAAGTCCCATTGAGCCACAAGGACTCATTTACAAGAGAGGTCTGTTTTTAACAAAGATTGATGACAACAGTGGATAACAACGACAACAATAGACATTAACAAATGATTTATACAATTTTTTTTTGCAATTGAAAACAAAATGATAATTAAAAGGGAAAATAAGCGTAGCGAAAAAACAGCTAGATTGGTGTAGAATACTAAAAAGAGTACTCAGATTGGTTCTTGCCAGGAACAGAAACAACTGTTTAAAACCACTTAGAGAGGTCAAGGTTGAAAGCTTCAAATCTTTTTGTAAGATATTCCAGGAAACAGGAGCAGCGTAGGAGAAGGCCCTTTTGGCTAGTTCAGTTCTCACTGAGGGAACACTGCAGGTAATAATGTCCTGAGAGCTCAAGCTGTAGCTGCAGTGACATGTAGGAGGAGATGTATGAAGGCAACAGACCAATAAGTGATTTAAAGATGAAAATGTACCAGTGAGAGAGTTGTTTTTTAAATATACAAAGGAACAAAGTGTTCCAAAGACTTGTGAGAGAAAAGCACGAAGAAGAATGAAACACAGCTAGAAAAGGTGAGACAAATAAAACTGGACAGCGGGTTAAGGAGCAGTGAGAGTAAAGGCAGATGTATGTGGCTTTTCACCTTTCCAACACAAACGTTATGTACCAGTCCGGGGATTCGCATCAGGCTCACCTTCTCTAACCTCTTAACCACTTCTGTCAACTTTTAAAATAGGGTACCACTGCTGTTAACATTTTCATTTAAAATTTTAAAGAAAGTCTGTGTGCGCATTTTATTTTTTATCGTATTGATAGTCAAATTTATAAAATTTTAACAATGAACTTGAACTTTAGTTTTTTCCCCACTGGCTGCCTATTGACATTACCTTTGTAATATTTTAACAAACTACGTCATTTTTCAAGTGTTCTCTTTAATATTCACATCTAATTTTTATTCATAGGCGGTTCCAGGGGGGAGCTAGGGGGTGCTATAGCTCCCCCTGGAAAAGTCATAGCACCCCCTTAGCACCCCCATAAATATCAGATTATATCAGATTATTTTCTTTTTCATCTGACTTAATATTCTTTAATATGTGGTTGTTGTGATATTTTCCTTGCAAAATACAACTAATTAAAACAAAACAATCAATGATTATATTGAGTAAAAAAAATATCCAATTTTGCAACAGGAAATGAACCTCCAAACCGGAAGTGAAAATTCAAGTTACTAAAAAATTCTGTAAACATTTGAAAAATGCATAAAATGCAAACATGGGCCATTTTCTATTACCCGAATTGCCTAGAATAGAATCAGAAAAGGAGGATTTTTTGGAGTCAGACTGCAAACAACAAATAAACAATAATTTGGAAGAAGGGTCAAGCCATCTTCTGCCATCTGCCATCCTTCCACATCTATGAAGAATGCTGCTAACGCTAGTGCTGGACAGCTGGAGGATGGAGCCAGCACGTTCAGCTACCTTGGGCAGTTCCCGGCGAGTCTTCTTCATGGGCTATCCTGGTTTGATCCACCAGCAGAACCCCAGAAAGATGAGTGATGCTCTCAACACTGATCCAGTAAGGAGCAGAAACTGGTGACATGATGCCACTGGTTATGCCATTTTTAGCTGACAACTTGGTAAAAAATCATTTCCTGGCTTGCAGTGATAATAAATGACTTTATCTGATCTCATTAAATAACTTCTTTCAACCAAAATCCAAAGTAAACTATTTAATAAAATAGTCAAACTTTGTCCAAATTCATGCGTGTATATAAACCAAAATAATTCCTGCTCAAAGAATGAATTTTGCCTTAGATAACAGAACTGAGCCATGATTGATTCATTACTATTCTTTGTTTATTATTGTTGTTGATTTTTTGTTTGATTATTTTTGTAATAAAACTTCAAAGACAACTTTGGTCTCTTCATTCAGATGAATATTCATTTGTTCTGGTATAGAAATTAACAGATTCTACTTCAGTGACTGATTCTGATCAATAAAGAGTGAATATATTAATGAAGTTGTTGTTGGTCAGTAAACTGACCAGCTGGTGCCCCACTGTATCCATCCATTATCTTTTACCCGCTTCTTCCATTTTGGGTCATGGGGGTCACCGGTGCCCATGTCCAGCAATCACTGTGCGAGGGGCGGGGTACACCCTGGACAGGTCTCCAGTCCATCACAGGGACACATAGAGACAAACGAGACAAACAACCATTCACTCTCTCACTCACACCTAGGGACAATTTAGAGTTACCAATCAGACTAACATGCATGTTTTGTTTTTGGTCTGTGGGAGGAAACCGGAGTACCTGGAGAAAACCGACTCATGCACGGAGAGAACATGCAAACTCCTCCCAGAAAGGCCCCCAGACCAGGATTTGAACCGGCCCCCACTTTCATGAATGAAAAATAAATTAAACAAATGTAGAGTTGAGATGAAAATGGTGTCACCCCTCTTCCTCCATCTCACCCTTCGTTATTGCTACAAGCTTCTACCCTGAAGCAGTTAGACTCATGAATCCCTAGTCTGGATTATCACTGTGAAAATCACTGTAAAAAGTCACTGTAATGTCACTTGGTTGTTGATATGTGCTGCTGACTATCCATGCTGCTGATCTTATGCTTCTGATTTATTTCATGCTGCTGTGTTCATTCGTCCTCATCTGCTCACACAGACTCGGGTTCGGGCTGCTGTTGTTTGACGCATTGTTTTGTACTATTAGTGCTTAGTGTATTCTTAGTTTAGTGTATTTCTTAGTTCATATTTTAGATCTTATTACCTTTTTTCTTTACAATTTGTATTTTATTGGCTGTAACTGGGACCCTGTGTACATAATTTCATACCATCTCATGTACCACATGTGATGTGAATGACAGTAAAGACACCTTGACCTTGAGAACTGAAAGAACAAATGATCCTTCATAGCACCCTCAGTGAAATGCTTAGCCCCCCACCCCCCCACCCACCACCCCACCCCCACCCCAGCACCTGCAGAAAAATATCTCTGGAGCCTTATCATTCATAATTTTAGTGTTTTTGAGTTGAAATAAGAACTTCATTTCATACATTCTGTATACTGTACTGTATTTAAATTTTTATACCATATCATTTTATTTATAAAGCACTTAAAACAGCTACAAGGCCAACCAAAGTGCTGTACAGACAGAACAACAGACAACACACGAAGCAAAATACAAAATGAAGTAAATCAGAAATATAGACATAAAAACGATGCAGATAATGACGACAAACCAGTGTGGAGCGTACAGGATCAAAACACAGATCATCTTGTGTTGAAAGCTACTGAATAGTAGTGAGTTTTTAAACAGGATTTGAAAACCGAGAGGGAGGGGGCCTGTCTGACAAGCAGAGGTAACTCGTTCCAGAGTCTTGGTCCTGCTACAGAGAAGGCCCTGTCACCTCTGCGCTTAAGACGAGTTCCTGGAACTGTGAGGAGCAACTGGTCCACTGACTTCAGGGAGCGTGGTGGGACATACGGTTGTAGCAAATCAGAGAGATGGGGGGGGACTTCAGTGATTTGTAGACATACAGAAGTATTTTGAACTGGATTCGAAAGTGAACCAGTAGACAGTGCAGTGAGGCCAAAACTGGTGTAATGTGCTCTCTTTTGTCTGTACTGGTTAAAAATCGGGCTGCTGCATTCTGGACCAGTTGTAGTCGTGCAATGGAGGTTTGACTGATACCAAACAGGAGCGAATTGCAGTAATCAAGCCTAGATGTAATGAATGCATGTATTACTGTCTCCAGGTTATTTTTGGACAATATGGGCTTCAGTTTAGACAACCGCCTCAGTTGGAAGAAACATGATTTAACAATCATGTTTACATGATTGTTAAGTTTCAGGGAAGGGTCCATTATCCCGCCCAGATTAGTGACTCTTTGTTTTTCTGACAGGGTTAGAGCGGAAAGGTCGATGCAGTGGTTTGTGATCGTGTCGTTGGGAGGGAACAACATGACTTCAGACTTCTTTTCATTGAAACTTAAGAAATTTAAATCCATCCAGTCCCTGATGTCAGCCAGGCAGTCGAGCAGAGGTTGAAAAGAGCATGTACCATTGTGTCTTAGGGGGAAGTAAATTTGACAGTTGTCAGCGTATAAGTGAAAGGGTATGTTGTGATTCCGGAAAATAGCACCAAGTGGCAGCAGGTATAAAGAGAATAGGAGGGAACCCAGGATGGACCCCTGCGGAAACACACCCCCCCCCCCCCCCATTTAAGCTCTGTCACTGCAGAACTAGACATGATTTATGGTCACCATTAGATGGTGAGAATGTTCACTTTAACGAAATATAATAAAGAGAGAACATTCTGACAGGTGCAGATTTTTCTCACAAATGTTCACAAAATAAATCAGACATATAAATTTGCATTTTTTTCTTATTTCAGGAAACAAAAACAAAAAACACCATAGAATATACAATAATGTAAAATTTGTAAAAAAACACACAAAAAAAATTACAAAAACCAATAAAAATATGAGTTACAAATATTTAAAAAATATATATGTATCATTTGCAATATTGAATTTAAACAACCCTAAATAGAAACAGCTTAATTTCATTTCATTTAATTGTTTTGCACTTGTGGAAATGTTAAGTTTGAATGTGAAATGAACAAAAAGAGTGTCAAAGATGAATTTCTGCTACAGTTGTGACAGACAGTAAAGTTCATCTTATCTTTTAAAAAATAATTAACGGCTGTGGTCACGTACTCCCTAAAGCTGTAGTGAAACGCTGCTTTGATTCGATTTATTTAGTTTGGTTTTAAGCTCCTGCTGTAGGTTTCCAATGGAGGTGGCATCCAAACCAAACCTTTTATAGGAGCTCAGAAGGGCTCTTAAGGAACCCATCATGAAAGAATCATTTAACTTGAGCCGATAGCAAAACTTAAAGGGATAAAACCACGTGTTCTTAACAAGAATGCAGATTCATGTTCATTTTGTTGAACAGTCATGATGTGATGTTCAGCACCAAGTAAGTTTAAACATAAATATTAACCACTTGAAAAAGCTCATACAGTGTCATCACTTTCAGCTAGCACAGTTTGTCAGAATTAACAGATAGCATGGTAAAACCTCAAATGTCGGTCACTTTTGACCCTAGCACTGGTGTTGATGAGCAGTAGTTCAGAGCAGCAGGAACATGAATCACAGGATTTCTTGTAGCCACGTTTCTTTAACAGTCACAGCTCAACCAAGCAGAAATCTCAGTCTGAGAACCAGTCCAAAAGGCTTGGGACTGTACGTGGACTAATCTGCAGGTGCAGACATGACGGAGAACTCTCCGTCAGGATAACAGTGTCTAAACTGCTACTAGCTCTTGAAGTGTAGTGACTCCATGAAGGACAGCTTCGGTGTCCTCGTTCAATACTGGACAGTCCACACTTCAACATCTTGTACGATGAAGTCTTCATGTGTGGAAAGAGGTGCGTTGTGGAAAGTAGGGCAGGAAAAACTGGCTCCATGGTACAAATCAGCATCCAGCCACAGGGCGAAGCCACCTCTGAAAAACAATGTTCATTTTGCAGCTTTTTATTAATTTGTGCAACACTGTTTATTTGCTGTGGTGAGCAGATATATGTTTGACTGAAACCAATAAGAACGTAACTTACCCTCCTCCACCAATGTGCAGAGACTCCCAGTTGCCGCACATGAAGTAGGAGTTCTCACCACTCCATGTGTAGTGCTGCAGAAAGTTCAAATATGGAACATTAGTAACACACACACAAGTGCTGTGCAAAAGCTAAAAATAATGTGGGTTTTAAAGAGTTATTTGCACGCATTGATGAGCTCCTATAGCCAGAGGGTATATAACAGGGCCATTCAACTGACGGCCCATGGGCCACTTCCGGCCAGCGGGTGGCTTCAGTCCGGTCCTCAAATGAATTAAAAAAAAAAAAATTAAAAAAATGGGAGGGCGGATATGAATTTGGGTTCTGTTTATTGCATTTGATTCATTGCAAAACAAATAAATAAATAAAAGGTAACAGTAGGCCTGTCACAACAACAAATTTTGCTAGGCGATTAATTGTCTCAGAAATTATTGCGATAAACAATAATATTGTTTGAAATTTGACAATAATCAGTAATTACTGTCAAATTTAAGAAGACGTTAGATTATTTGTTTTGTGTGTAGTACCTTTTTTGACCATCGGATGGCAGTATAAGACTGATGGATATCCAAAATAAGTTCAATCTGGTCCTCTGGACATTCAAAAAACAAGAAAACAAAAAAAACAAAAAACAAAACAAAGCAAAAAAATGTAGAAACGTTTCGTCTCTCATCCGAGAGACTTCCTCAGTCTGAGGTGCTGTATT